TTTACACTCGAAAATGACATCCGTTACATATACTTTTCCATGTCTTTTATGCTTTAAAATTTATGACACCAAAAAAAAACTTCAAAGTCATGAACGAAATAAACATAAAAACAACAAAATTGTACCACATCGTCATGTACTTTGTCAACCATCTGATGAAACATTATTATTTTATCGAGATACAGTAATAATCCGTCTAAAAAACAGTCTTGGGTTTAATAGACACGCAATTGGAAAGAAACACATAACAATTGACGCGTTTCCAGAAAGTGTATATCTGTTTTTATTTGAAAATGAAGACAATTTTAGGTATATACCTAGTCAACGAAAATACCAATGTACTTTTGAGGGCGTTATAGGTGGGGAAAGGTTAAAAAGCATATTTAGATATAATGAAATTGTTTTTCGTGAAAATGCAAGTACTTCAACTCGAGGATACATTTTATTTGAAGATATTGATGGCCAATATAAGGCAACATTTGGTTGAAAACAAAAAGAGTGGAAGGAAAACAATAGACTTTTTTTAACCGGAACATTGTTGATTAACTTCGTTGCTAATTCAGGCGAGTTTATAGATAAGTAAGTATTAATTGTGTATAATTAAATTTGATTTACAAGTTTTATTCAAATATTAAATTTATGTTTTATTTGCAGCCAAGAAAATCTTTCGTCACCTTCATTTGAACCATCTTCTAGTAGTAATCATGGTTTGCATATGATATATAATGGTTTTTGTAATGAATCCTCCTTTTGTCATGCTTATTCTCAATTAAATAACAAACCTCCGTCAATAGATATTAAACCAAATTTTACTAGATCGCGCTATAGATATATTTTACCTCGCCCCCAATTTATGTAAATTTTTAAATAAATAAAATAAAATAATGCTTTTTATTGTATATTAATGTTTTTACATGTTATTTCATTTGGAATATTATTAATTAAGTAAAAAATCTGTCGATTTTCAAATACTAAAATATCATAAACAACAGGTTTATTTCTTTTGCCACCTCCCATTGTAGTTCCGCCAAAAAATAATTTAACCTAATAAATCAAATGTTTTGAAAATTATAATTTGAAGATTTTAATTTACTAAACATGATATAAATACCTGATCATGGTTTTTCTTTTCAATGCTACTAGTTGAAAATAGTCTGAATGAAAGTCCAATTTCCTTTAATCGACGCATAAAATAAGAAACATGCATTGTAAACATATGCATATATGGAGTAACATCTTCTTTTCTATAAAGTCCTGGGATTGCTGATGCAGAATTCATTTGACCTATAGTAGGTTGGCAAAAAGTTCTGACCCAATTTTTTGCATCTTTTTCAAACTTTAAAATTTCTTCTTCAGTGTAAGATGGTTTTCTTAAAACTTCATATAAACGAAAAAATTCATGCCATAAATTTTCAATAGCTATTCCACGTGTTCCAGATATAAATTCACTCACAGGAAAGGATTCTAACATTTTTTTTTTATCAGGACCCATGAGTGAAGTCCAGCTCCAATTGTTTTTACCAGAATTAACACGATAAAATTCAAAATGAATATGAAGCTCATTCATTTTTTTCTCAATTTTCTCTTTAAAATTTCGTTCAAAATCATTTTTTTTAAATAAATCTTTAAAAAAACATTCCATTAACACATCAGATATTCGTAATAATATATGAAGCTCATCAGGAACATAATTAAGTAAGTCAATTACAGGAAATAAAGATGGGTTTTTTTTCCCTAATTAATGTTTAAAAATTAAATTCAATACAAATATTTTAAAAAAAAATAAAAAAAATATTTAAATTATATAAAACCTTTATTGTTTCCGATAGGTGGCCAAGAAAGATCCATATTATGACGAGATTTCACATCACATTCACAAAACAAGCAGAAATATTTTGAATTAGGTGCATTTAAACCCATAATAATATACATAAATTTCCAATCTCCAGAAAAAAAAAATTCAATTGGCCAACAAATACCATCATCATCAATTATTCCATTATTTTTTAAGTTAGCTAATTGTAAAGCAAATATTTTGCCAACTTTAGCTAATGTTTCATATTTTTCTTTGCCAATATAAAGACATATACTAAAATTATATTAGTTTTATTAAAATGTAAAATAAAATATAAAACATATAATTTATATAAAAATTATACCTATATTGATGGCTAGGTTTAAGAACATCATCTCCTTCATTTAGCAGACAAAAAGTCATAATTACATGACTTTGTTTTCTCCCAACATTCCTGCCATCACCACCAAGCTTTATGTAAAGAGTATCTCCAGGAATTATTATAGGATTTTCTCTTGCTTTCCAAATAGGAATTAATGTTTTAAGTAATGTCAAAAGAGAACGAAAAGCACCATTTCCTATTTCACAATCATCTATTAAAATGGCACTAATATGCTCATTAACATTATTAGATTGATTATAATGAATTTCTTGATCCACATCAAAGGTTTCTATATGTATTTGAGCATCTATAATTTTATTTATCTCATTTCTTCGATTGGAAACTAAGTACTCACGAAAAAGAGTTGGTACCACTGCTGCTAAATGACGATATCCATCATGACCCAAGAGTGCTTCATCACATGCACGTACAACAGCATCAAGTCTTGTTTGATTGGTTATAAAATCCTTAAATCTAATATGAATATGATTTTCTTTATAATCAAGTTCAATATTACGAACATATACAATTTGCTGTCCAGATGAATTGGTCAATTTGTGTTTAACAATTAATTGATTAACTGCATCCTGAACATCATTTCCAAAACTACTCAATCTCTTGTTTTGTTGTGATCGTGAGGTAATATCTTCCAGTGGTCTTTTTCGTTTATCAACTTTTGTTATAGTAGAAGTAGGACAAGAATCAACTTGTAAGCGAATATTATATAACGGTTCAATATCAAAACCAAATAATCGAGGTCCAGAAAGTTTAGTTGAAGATTTGTAATTAATTTTCTAATTGTAATTAAAATAATATTAAATTAATTAAATATTTGATATAAATAATTAAACACTTTGTGAATACCTGTAGAAATGTGTTAACAACCGCGGTGGAAGATTTTGTGCTATTAACACTCCATGTTGTACGCCCTTCCTTCCAATAAATTATATAGTTCACCTTTGAACGTGAAATATATTTTGTTTCACACCTAAGATTTTGTTCAAAAACTTCTGTTTCTACAACATAATTATCGGGTATTGGATATTGAGGTGAATTGGGTTTCGATTTTTGAGTTAATTTTGGTGGAGTAGGATAGGTTCCCAAAGAAATAATGTTATAAAATGAATTAAACGATCTTCCATTTGCTTTGTAATAAGCTTCAATTTTCGAACTATTTGGATAATCATGTACAAAAGTGCGACTAGAAAAGGTATCTATGAATAAATAAATTTTTTAGTTATTTCTATTATTGAAACTTGAACAAAAATTATTGTTTTTTTTAACGATGCAATCGGTGTCTATTAAATATTATTGGATACAAATGCAAAAAAAAACTCTTGAACAAAAATTATATCAGTGTAAATAGAAAGAATATTACTTTCAACTGTTTCTGTCATTTTTTTAAATTTAATAACAAATAGTTTCGTTTATTACGTGTTTATAATCTTTTATCACTTTTGTCACGCTAACTACCCAAAAACATATTACTTCATAAAAAACCAATTTCGAACCAATTTCGACCGGTTTCATAGTTGCGAAAATCCAGTTTCGAAAGTATGCTAAATCTTTGATTATTGGCTTAAATATAGGATCGTCATTATACATTGTCCATACTATCTGATTTTATCACTAACTTTATTAGCATGTGACGG